TTAATTACAAGGATCAATTATTTACCAGCCTCCTCTTTCACTCCTCAGTGCTCCCAAAAAAGGAGTGTAAAGAAAAAAAAGAAAATACATGAAAGACCCAGAAGAGGTTGTGGTGGCAAATTTAGAACAGAGAAAATAAGTTGCTTGTTCCAGATAATACAGACAGTGTTTATGCTGTGCATTATATATGACAGATGAGTTTGTCTGGGCTGTTAAACCTTTTTAAAGGATGACTACAAAACAACTTCAATAGGTGTTGTCAGATTAATGATTAATACAAGCTTAAAGAGCAAAATAACATTTGAGTACCTACAAATACACAACTCATTACAGAAATTAAAAATAAAGGTAAAGGATTACATAAACTGAAATATATGAACCTTTTATAATGCGCTTTTATTTATGTTATTTAAAAAAGAAAAGATCCCCTGTATTTCAAATGTACTGCTGAAGCCATTTCTTGACTTCAGTTCCATGACACAAACACCAACTGCAAGGCTTTTAACTAATTTGAAGAGACAAGATCATATTACCCCTTTGCTTGTATTCACAACAGCGCTTCACCTGGCTGATGCTGAGAAAAAAAAAGTCATGAAACAGATAAAGTCACAAAATAACATTTATCTGAAATAGAGTACATTTCAAATACTACAGTTCATGCACTAACGAAGATCATAAAGAAAGTATATATCACACATATTTAAATGTCCTTTAACTCCTGTCAGTTTTACAGTAGAGGTTTTATAGATTGTATATTAAGTTTCTAAATAGTCTTGCACAAAAGTGCAAGGTACACCCTGTACTGTAGATATAGAGAGCAATTTTCACCTCAGCTCAACCAAAATTCAGCTGTAAGACTTTAAACTAATTTAAAAGAGACAAGATCATATTAACCTCATGTATGCCCCTATTTACAAGCTGGTACATTCAGTACCTGGTAAAAACACTGATGAATGTTCCCTCCCTGACAACCTTCATGAACTATAAATTCCACAAAAACCACATTTAAAGTAAAAATGTCTAAATGACAGATAAAACAGACTACTTAACTACTGTTTCAAGTCACACAGCTGTATACTACTTTTCCTAGTCTGTGTTCTATCTTGCATCTAAAAATGCAAAAAGAAAAAAAAAAATACACTGAGAAGTAGCAGCTGGCAGAGTGTTATGTGGTCATCTATCCATAGAACATAGTGTCTCTTCATGTGTCCGAATTACAGCCAGCCAAATAACCCAAATAACAGGGGATGTGAAAAATGCAGCACTCAACTAAGTCTGCTGTGGTTCCGGCCCTTAACAAGCTACAACACCTGTGATTTGTGGTTTGCCTGTTGTGCTGTATTTTTGTGCTAGATTTCCATTGTCATCATGAGTCTAGCCTGGTTCATGCTATTTATGGTGTGCAAGCTCCACATCGGCGACCACCTGCTTTTACATAAGCTAGCATTAATGCTTCCGTTTCTTTCATGGTGACCCCAGACTTAAAAAGCTCAGAGCTTTGGTGGTCATAAGAACAGTTTGTACTTTGACAAGTTTTTTTACCATATCCTGCTGTTTTAAATTTGCTTACTAAAGAGGTAAGTGTATCAGCATTTAAGAAGTCATGTTAGTTGACCCCAATCAAATTATACAGACTAATCATTTGATGACGTTAACACTAAAATAACTATAACTAAACAAGAATGAAACAGAAAGCAATAGTGACTGTGAACAGGATGAAATGTGTTTGTCGAAACTTCTAGACGACTGGCCTGGTACCTTGGGTGGTGCTCGCATTTCAGCAACATAATTATATATGCCAAAGGAAATAATTGTTTTACTTGTCTTATAAATTATAAAACTAAGTAATTTATTCAAAATCAATACTAACATTTCCTCAAGCCAATACTTGTTAGGAATAAGAAATCTCCAAGGATATAACTTTGTTGACAGAGATCAAAAAGTACAAGGTATAATATGCAACTGTCCAACAAATACATATTATTCACATAATCATGCTCAAAAATGAGTTGATTGTTGAAAGACTCTGATATTGATCTAAAAAAGTAGTAACACTTATGGCCTCGTTGATTCCACAAGGGGGAGTGTTTTGAGACTGAAATGTAAGAGTAGGCAGCTCGTTTCTCCTTCTACAGCAGCACAGGGTTTTTCCCCTGGACTCTCAACTGATGGCTCATTAATCTATTCTAGAGGAGGTCCCCTACACAAGCAGCCTGCGCCAGTGGAGGTCTCCTCATGCTCCTTCCTTTTCAGCACAGTTCTTTTACTTAACGATGAGTATTACCGAGTTGAAGTAGAGGTTTCATAAAAGCATTCTTTACATCAAAACTTTACCTTGACACATCTAAAATATTATAGTTTAAAATGTACCATAAACAAAAATAGGGGAAAGAGCACCATAGTTATATATAGTTTACCTGTGGTCCATGTATAAATAAATCTTTTGGGGACAATTAAAATAGACACCACATGTCATGGATATCTGGCCTGTACTTTTAAGGCTATTTTGCTTTTGACAACAGTTTTGGAAAGACAGACACACTGAGAGAAGGACAGACTAACCGCCCACCCATGAAGAAAGAAAAGAAAAAAATGTTTTTAAAAATTACGATCGAAATTCTCATAATTTAACTTTATATTATATCGACGCTATAATTAAATTACTATTAGACATGCTAAATGGCTAGCCTGATAATCCCACTGAATTTCTGCTTTGTTACTATATCAATCGCTGAACAATTCAGAGATGTGGTCTGTGGTTGTGGGGTCTGTAACCAGGCTACTAAATAGCAGCAAAGCCTTTACAATAACTTATACAATAGCTTGCTAATGCTCGGACAATGTTTCATCGGCAGCAGATAAATTGAAATTGTGCCATCCCAAGAACTGTCAAAACCATGTCATATTTAGTGAATACTTGCATCAAAATGGAAAAAGCTCTTCCCATTTTGGGGGACATGAGTGTCTGTGCCAAATTTATGATGGCAAACCATCCAATAAATATTGAGACATTTCACCCCAAATATGAGAACAACGAGGCTCTAGAAAAAAGATCAGATGATCCCCAAAGTCATAGGGTGCATAGTAGAGGAACCAAAAATATCTGCACAAACTTTTGTGCCAATCAATCTAGTAGATGTTGAGATATTAAGGATAAGCAAAACCTTTTCTTCTTCATACAGAAACACATCATACCAAGTAAGGAAACTCAAAGCCATTGCATGGGACCTTTAAGTCAATTAGTGGTGAGATGTCTACATCTTTGTTAAGTAGAAAAGAATGTATGCTTTCAGTGAAAATATATATTATCAATTCAGATCCAACAAGCATGATGGCCATTTGTAAAACTGTGAAAATCAGCTACCTGCATACACATTTACAGCCAGCTGTCCTGTGTGGGAGGCAGCAGGGCACTGAAGGCTCCATTTACACACTTTGGTTTAACTGCAGTATTTGCTCTGACACCCATCATCGCTTAAGTACTCCATTCATACATACTCTGCTTCAGCTGACAAGAGCAATTACATTTTCGTGATTATTTTACAATAGCCATTCAAATTATTAATCTCACTGCCCTCAGTGATTTCAGCTGACATTTGTCTGATATTAAGAGTAGGTTTTCCTCCTCACAGCAACTGATCTGTTAGTGACACCATCACTTAACCACCACATATCTGACTGCTTAAATGGCAGCTCTGTCAGAGCGTCATGTCAGAATTCAGATTTCTGTTTGTCTGACGGAGACTGACAGAGCATGCGGCTGTCTCTACAGAGTTATAATTTAGCTATATGAACATAAGTGATAGCACCCTAATAAGGGTTGCAATGTTGCTCTTGTTATAGAACCAGTGAAACTGCAACATCACATATGTGACATCACATAAATAAGTAAATCAACAGACATCTGCAGTGAAGCAGCATTTCAAACATGACTTCTGAATTTTACCATGAAACATTTATACAGAACGTCAAGGGAGGTCTACAGCAAGTACTGTACAAAAAAATCTATCAAACAGTTTTTAATAGCATCTGATTGGCAAGCTGTCTTGGGACAGTTGGCAAATGGGCGGGCAGCGGAGGAGTTTAGAGGTGCTAAAGTTCAGGCAGGAGCGACGCAGCACCCTGTGTCCTGCCAACAGCCTTACAGTGGCGCAATTCCTGACTAAGTTGTTGACCCATGGCCCCCACCTGTCTTGACCATGCATTATATAGGGAGGGGGGCATCGCTTCCCCTCCTATGCTGCCTGCCACACCAGAAGGCTTTTGACTCATACCCATCTGTCCTGGTAGTACATACATTAAGTGAAAGCCAAATTACTGCCACCCTGTCCAATTCATGTGTGCTTTTACAGCAACAAGTCGTTACATCATGTGTGAACTGAATTTTTACCTTAGCAACAAACATCTCAGTAAAAACCAATAAGCGTACTTGTTACAAAACAACAAATCTAGTCTTTGTGAAACTTAGAATATACATTGTTTTTGATCAGGGAGGTGTTGATTCAACTCTGCAGTAGTTTTTGAGACTGTAGTTAGTGGTGGTGTTGAAACAAGATGTATGACACTGATAGGTGTTTCAAACGTTCTGACACACATTCGAAGGACGGAATATAAGAAACACCTCTCAATATGAGTTAGCATGCCTATGCCATTACCACAGCAACCAAGGCAGGCCGGATAACAACACCTGAAAATACAAATTTAACCTAATCACTTTCTAATATCAGTGAAGGCAGTCAGTCTTAGATATTCAATTTAGTCACACATCAGATCTGCCTGCAGTCTGAACATATTCTAGGAGCCACCTAATGTGGAAATACATCAGTGGGTGAATACTTTCTATTTGCAATAATGGTAATAGGAAAGATGTAAAATTACACCATTACTTTTGTTTGAATATGTTCACACGACACTCACTTGGTCTGAAATAACTTTTGACAGACACTAACTTTCTTAAGGACATCAAAAAGCTTGCACAAATAACAAAGATGCAAACGTACCTGACCTAGTTGGATGTCTAAGTAATGAAGCACCTCTTTCAACATGACAGGCATATGAGGAGGCTTTTCGACTGAAACAGGAGACAGTTCTTCAGATCTGTCCAGGGGACCGGGACCAGAAGATACACAAACTGTAGAACAGTGCACGCTTAACTTCAATGACCTCCATGCTCTCCACACAGCCAGATTTGTTTTCTGTAATACCTGGTTGGAGCGCACAGACATGTAGGAAATCATGATCCTTCTGATAACCTACGGAGAAAATAAGAGCAAAGATTTGTGGTGATTAGAGCTGCAACTAACGATTATTTTCATTGTCGAATAACCAAGAGAATAATCGACAGATTGGTTGTTTGGTCTATAAAATGACAGAAAATGGTGAACAAAAAAAAATGTCGATCAATGTTTCCCAAAGCCCAAGATGATGTCCTCAAATGTCTTGTTTTGTCCACAACACAAATATATTCAGTTATAGTTTACTCCTCTACTGTCATAGAGGAGTAAAGAAACCAGAAAATATTCACATTTAAGAAGCTGGAATTGATACTATAACTGATTAATCAATTGTCATAATAGTTGCAGATGAATTTAATAGTTGACTACTAATCCATTAATAGTTGCAGCTCTAACACTGATATAAGCAGAAACATAAAGTGCTTAAGGCAATTAAGAGGAGCAGGGTTTTGTAATTACTGCTGAATATGGGTGAGTATTTTGAAAGTTAAAAGATAAAGATGGAGTTCTGGACTTCAACTGACAGGGGATTGCTGATTTGAAAATAACTTACTGTAAGTTTTTGTAGTTGCTATGCTATTATGCTAAGATATTTTGCCTTCATCATAGGAGTAAATAGACAGAAATCTTATTGTGCAGACTTAGAAAGTAGCTTTGAAATTTCCAGACAGGATCAGAATTTTTAACTAACTTAAAAAGCTGGACACCAACCAACCAAAGGAGGGCATCAGAGTTTTAACAGTTTAAGCCAGTTGAAATCACTCTGAAGGTTGAACCCCTCCAACAGCACACATATGTGGTTCATATACTGCACCACCACAACCTTTGGCTGATTAGTTGAACATTTTGGCATTCGACATAAACAATAGTGCCTGCATCAGGCACTAAAGTCAGCCACATGGTTAAAAAGGTATTCAGGTGTTTCCTGGCAACAAGATGTATTGGAAAATTAGAGCTCAGTTAGTGGTGTATGGTTATAATAAAACAGAAATATGTGCAGAAGCTGAGGGAATTTAACAAGTGTGCGAATGGCACTGATGAACGCAAAGCTAATGTTCAATGGCAGCAAAGAATAACACAATTGTAAAAGGGGTGGCAATAAAAATATTGAGTGATGTTGTATGATTGCTGTCAGATTATGGGCCATACCTGCTGTACCTTCCAGGAATCCTTTTCAACTTCTCATATAATATATTATTACATTACCATGTGTGTATCTAGATGTAAATCAAAATATTACATCTTTCAGATAAGGTAAGCTATACATCAGACCGGCATCATGTCATCAAGCAGCAAGTATCAAGGCACCCGTTTGGGGGAAAAGAATTGCACTTTCACATAACAAGAGAAACAAGGAAATGCTGCAAAGTTGTTGTATAGCATGTTGTAAAACAAATGAGCATACAAATCCAGATCTGATTTGAGGCTTATAAAACATATGAATATTTACTGATGATAGGTAGTGTGGTAAATGAATAAATAATGCCGGTGATAGTTACTACTGATGGATAGCTAGCTTGAGTGGGAGGCATCTGGAGGACAGCCATACAGTAGCCGCATCAGACTGTCGTCTCCAGCTAAATCTCAGCCTAGCCTAGCTCAAACAGTGGGCTAGTATTAACATGTTGGTTGTTTACAAACAACACATTGCCTAAATATACCTGTGGATTCAATCAGATGTCAGGATAAGCAATTCCCTGATCCACTGGGACAGTGGAAGACAGAAACTTTTTAATTTAAGTATCCCAAATGCATAAGGTTCAGGCAAGGTTGCAAAATAATTATTAGAAATGTCTATAAAACAAAGGTTGTTTGCTTTAGACAAAATTAATGCATATGCACTTTAAACACACTTTCAAAATTGTAATGCATGACACATCAGATTGCCCAGACACGCATTGGATCTTCAATTTTCTATCCCTCACAAAGGGGCGTGGCCATTACTTATATTAAGTACTCATATGTGCTGGTGTGGTGTAAATTATGTTCTAATGATACTAGGGCTGGGCAATAAAACAATAATTATTGCGACATAATTTTAAATGCTAGACTTAATTCATTTGAATCATGAACAAATTAACACCTGATTTTTCTATTTTGTTGAGGAAAAGGGACTGAAAAAAGATTTTACTCATGCATATTTGTTGAAAAAAGATTTGATCATAATTGTTTGGAATGTTCTACCTCAGATTTGTCAAGTGATTCACTGTTTGGCAAGTGTTTGGCAAGTTCTGACGATAAAGAATAGTTTAAAAACCACAATTAACAATCTGGTTTCTTCAACTTTCACTCAGGAGCAATAATCAGCCTTTAAACTTTAAAGAAATAATGATTTGACATTTATGGTGATAATTATCGATATCAAATTATATGAAATTTTTTTATCATGATAACATTTTTGGCCATATCGCCCAGCCATAAAAATTACATCAATGGATACCTTTACTGGAAGAGCACAGGCAAATGAATGATATTTTGAGCATACTGTATACTTTTAATCACATGTGAATAATTTTGTAATTATTTTTAATCCGTGTCATCAAATTCAAATGTCAAAAAAGTAGATCGTCACAACTTAAAGTAACGTTGTCTCACACAGACATAACAGGGATAGGATAAAAACGATATTATTATTTAATGTAAGGAGGTATTTTATTCGAGGACCCATGATTCTAACGTTAGCTACGCCCCTTTTCTTATTATGCTACTTAGCTGCTAGCCATTAAGCTAGGAGTGGGTAACAGGTCACATAACTTTACACTAACTTACTGTGTTGTTGGTAGCAGTTAACAAGGTGATTTCATATAATCAAACGCGTGTAACCAAGTGTTATGTTGCCATTTTGGAAAACAGTTTTGGTGTGAAGCAGGTTAGCTAAGTAACTCACCTCGATAAAAACACCAGAGTTAACGTGGGGAAATGTGTAGGAGTGGGTGTGGATATTCAATATCTTGGGAGATGCCCGTTACTGAGGTGTTATGCAACGTCTGGCACACTGTTAGTTGCTCTTTATCACATGTATAGTAACTGTAACGGCATTAGACCAGTAACGTTAACGTTAGTGGCGATCCCTTTGCTGGCGATGCATTTTACACCTGACGATAGGGCGATGTTAGATATTGTTGGCTATGCCACCATGTTGGATGACGGCGCGCAGTTAGCTACACAAACTGTCAACGATTATACGAAAATGAACGCTACAGTACATTCAGTTACATTTTAAAGCCTTTAACCAAGGTGAAGTATGCCGGAGAACAGTGTCTAGACCTCGGGAAGTTAACTGTAGCTTACCGTAGTGGACGAGAGTAGCTCCGCCTTCTTCAGCAGCAGCATGTCCGCCGCGTCACTATGGTCCGCCCAATGACCAGTGACTCGCATCCAATCTGCTGCGACAGAGGAAGAGGGCTTGTTTTTGAAAATATTGGCGCTTGTCGTGCTAGCTATGGCCACTTAAGCTTCGCTAGCGAGTTTATTTTTGTAACCCCAAAATACGTGTGTCTTATCAGAGAAAGTTACCGTGGTAATGAAATGAGAGATAACCTCTGACAAAGTTACTGACAAAAGGTAAGGCGTAATCGCACACGGTACATTCAACATAAAGACAAAAAACGCTAACTTACCGTTGGAAGTTGTGCGAGAGCTAACATTAGCTAACTTAGGCGTTAGCATGATAGGGTTGGTTTCATATTAAGTGGTTTTTAAAAACGTAATTTTGTACTGTGTGCTTGAATTTAAATATTTATGCTAATATTTTAAAAAGCACTGAACGTTAACTAGCAATAAAGACAATGTCGTATTTATATCCATACATTTTTGTGACTCGTAACTAGTCATTAACGTTAACGTTACTAGACTTGAATGTGTTGCGCCGTTATTTTTTGTCTCATTGTTGAAACGTACCAGTTGATTTACCTCTAACGTTACCAAGAGCAACTGCCACCCAGCCTCTAACTTAAAACGTTAACCTTAGTGCTTTCATTCTCTTGTAATGTCTAGCAATGGTGCAAGGGAATCACTTTTGATTATCTGTGCAATGGTAGGGACAACAGCCTGCATATAGATATAACGTTAGATGACATAAACATTGCACGTCCAGTCTCCTACACCTGGCTAAAACCAATGCATTTTTTAGTTTCTTTCAAATGTCCTTTATCATATGCCAACCCTATTCATATCCGTGAGGATGGAGAAAATATAAGATGATATTAGAAAAATTGCCCTCACGTTGTCACACTACAAAGCATTATAATTCAACAGCACTGCAAACTGCAGCCTCCAAAATGACCTTCAATTTGAAACAAGACATCTCAAAAACATTTTCAATAAAAGTAAATATAACTTCTGGATGAGCTGGATTTATTGCAGGGTGGTTGTACTAAAAAGCATCTGCCATACAGGGCATGCATGGTTTATAGTAATATAAGTTTGGCCTGTACTGATCTACAAAACCTGTACCAAAAACAAATGATGTGATTGCTTATCAATTAGATTTTCACCTCACTATCATTAGCAAACATATCAACTGTCTGCTGTAACATCAGGGATAAGCTGAGACAGGCTGAAGAAATTTGTTGGTGACTTAAGTCAGTCAAGTTAATTTTATATAAAACCCAAAATCATTAATTTGTCTCAAAGACCTTTACAGTCTGTACAGCATAATGACACCCTCTATTCTACGGTCTGTTTTTCCCTGTTTCTTTCTCAATTTGTGTGATTTAATGAGCAGCCCTTTGTATTTGCTTTGCAGCAACACTTCAGTCACTGCAGAGGGACCACAATGGCAAGTGATGTATGCAGCCATGTCAAGGTGGTTGTTCGGGTTAGGCCAACCAGCGACAGTGAGAAGCGTGAAAACTGTCGAAATGTGGTGCAGGTTGTTGATAACCACATGCTCATATTTGATCCCAAGGAAGAGGACGTATCATGTTTTGGGTCACAAAGAGTACGGAACAGAAACATCAACAAGAGGGCTAACAAAGACCTTAAGTTTGTTTTTGACCATGTCTTCAGCGAGAACTCTACTCAAGTTGACATCTTTGAGAACACCACTAAAGGAGTGCTGGATGGTGTGATGAATGGATTTAACTGCACAGGTAACAAATGAATAAATACAAGATGTGTGTTTTAAGCTGCGCAAGGCTGTCAAACAAAAAAAGAAATAACTGAACCTCCATAGCGCAACCATCAAATAACATGATATGCTGAACAATTTGGGTGTCCTAATCACATTTTTCATTCCTAAACCCTATCTGAGTCCTTTTAATAATCAGTATCTAAATTATATTTATATTTCTTAACAATACATGTGCAATATATTCCCTTTTCATAAAGTAAGCCTAAATTAAAATTATAAAGCAATTTAAATATGTAACACCTGAATGACTCTTCATTAAGGTAGTATAGCATGAATCACACCTTTCATGGTTTTCTTTAATATTTTATAAAGTACATTGCCCCAGAAGGGTCATGGTGGGATTATTTCTGAACTACTTTTGCATTTCCTTGCATTAAGTTTTGCTTTCCCATGCAATATTTTTGCATTACCCTTGATCCGTAGGAACAGTTAATATGTTAGTCCAGTTATACTGCCAGTTTAGGGAAACGCTCTCGCTACAGAAAGGATAGACTGTGAAACTTTCCATTATGCATTAATTGCTCATTACTCCTTCCGAAAGGCTGAGCTCCAACAGTGGTACAGCCACTGCTATTAACACAACTGTAGCTGCTGTGCCTGGCTGTGAATATGGTTATTTCTCAGACCACAGCAGCATTAGTGGTTGTATCGTTGGTGCTATTGATATGGCTACAGTAGCTGTACTGTGAGTAGAGGGGATTTTTGACCACCTCTCTTTAACTCCAGCATGACCAAATACTGAAATTCAAATGCATTTATGAGCTACACTAGCACTACTTCAGAGCTGTGAAAAAATAATGGAAAAAAATACTAAAACAATTCTCAACAGGTGACTCACGCTGCCGTATCATTAATTGAAAATGCTGGCTGCTGTTAATTTACTTTGTCTGCGCCAGGGTTCACTTGCTGGTCACTGGCTCACAACGCTGTGCAGTTGCAGTGTTTTTAAATCAGCACAACTGGGAAATTTTGTGTACCTGCTGCAAACAAGACCAGAGATGGATTTGGCTTTAGAGTCTAATTGATCCATCAAAAGATGCGTGGATCAGCTGCAAATGATCCTGCTGAAACATTCAACTGTATGATCATTTTGGAAGATGTAGTTTGTGGTGCTGTTGAACTGCGTTGCACTTCACAGAGAGGCCTTCCTGATATTTAGCATACCCTCATTCATAAAAAAAATCTATAAAATAATTGAAACACCTGTCAGTATACCGCAATACAATTCAGCTGCGGCCTCCAAAATCACCATACAGTTGAATCAACACCTCTCCAACACACTTTCAGTGAAAACATAGCATTATTCCCTTCATTAAGAAAGGATTTATTGCAGGACTGTTGTATTAGACTGCACTTTTATCTAGGTGTACCTAATAAACTAGCGACTGAGTGTATATTGGGTGCAGAATATCAGTGTTTACCACCTAGCTCGTCTTGATTAAATTGTATGTAACCAAAAACTTTGGAGTTGTATTTGGTTTAATGTGTGAATCTAAAGCTTTTCATTTAGGTGTTGTTGAGACAGTATTGCGTACTTTCAAATCTGAGCTGATTAGAACATCTTCATTTTTATCAGTTAGGCACACTTAAGCCAAGCTTTTCAAAATAAGCAGCTTTTCTCAGCCTCATTTTGAAAAATAATACATTTGATGCTCAGTCAAATTTTTTTTCACATAATAATTTGTGGTTATGCTCTATCCAAAATAAGTTTGAAGCTAGTCGATTTTTGTTGTGATAAGCATTGTTATTTTTATTTTATATATACATGTCTTACTTTGTAGTAATTTTTCATTTAATTGCAGTGTTTGCGTACGGTGCTACTGGAGCAGGCAAGACGCATACCATGTTAGGCTCACAAAATGAGCCTGGGGTCATGTACCGCACCATGGAAGAGCTGTTCAAACGCATGGATGATGCCAAGGAGGAGAAAGAGTTTGCTGTTGCATTCTCATATCTTGAGGTGAACATTTTAATCATCATAGTTTTTATTGTCTGCTTTAGTGCAGTGTCAGACTCGGGGTTTCAGTTGTAATCTTCATTGATAATTAAACCACAACGCTTTTGTCTAAAGGCATTGCAGCAGTTACTCACTTTAATAGCCTAGCTTAAAGGGGATATTTTGTCTTCACAGGTTTTTCTATATACTGTTTGTTCTATATTAGTAACCCAGTCATACATTTTTGTCTTGACTGATCTCTTGGGGTGGTTTTGATGGATTAGCCGCTGTTTGCAGTAATTTTTTCTGTTTTGTTTTTTGTTTGCAGGTTTACAATGAACAGATCAGAGACTTGTTGGCTAATGCAGGGCCTCTAGCAGTCAGAGAGGACAGTTCTAAAGGAGTGGTTGTTCAGGGCCTCTCACTGCATCAGGTTAGTAGCAACATGTGTTATATATATACACGGTTACATATTCAGCTATTGAATGTTGACGTCCCTTACTGTTATGTTGCTGTGGTGTGCAAGTGTACTGGGATGGTTCCAAATCATTCCAAATTTTTGTTGTTATATACAGCCCAAATCTGCAGAGCACATTCTTGAAGCTTTGGATTGTGGCAATCGCAACAGGACACAGCATCCCACTGATATGAATGCCACTTCTTCCCGGTCCCATGCTGTATTTCAGGTATTTCAATCCAGTCCAGTTACTGAAGTCCCAAAGGAAAATCAGGCTGTAGAATTAATTAAGAATAAGAAAATAACATGTAGACAATAATTAACTAAAAAGAGAGACATGGATACAAAAGCTTAACTGCAAACTCCACAATTTCTAGTGTAATAAATATTTTGAATATTTCTTGGTGGTTTTAAATGAACAGTTTTGTATTATTTTCTCCAGATATATTTGAGGCAGCAGGACAAAACCGCCAGCCTCAATCCTAATGCCTGTGTTGCCAAAATGAGCCTGATTGATCTGGCAGGTTCTGAGAGAGCCAGCGCCACCAACGCCAAAGGGGCACGTTTGCGGGAAGGGGCGAACATCAACCGTTCGCTCCTTGCATTAGGAAATGTTATCAATGCGCTTGCTGACCCAAAGGTGAGTTTATATTACCCTGCATTTACTGTATTATTAGTATTATTATATAAACCACAGTCACCATTGATACATATTACATTTTAGATTAACTTGACAACTCAGCAGTTTTCAAAATAGAGCAAAAACGTTGGTGCCCAGATTTCTGTTGCACTGTTTACACAAGCTGCACACTTGTTTTCCATGCATGTCATTTTGGTATTAGATCCAATGAATGCTCTGGTCATACAATAGTCAGTGGATATATGTCAGCATGACATTACAGCCTTTGTTGCAAACACTGCTCCCATTTTCCAAGATCATTATGCCCCAATACCAGGGTGGCCACTTGTTCCTAGAAAACCTTCCATTTTTCTTGGGACCCTGAAAACCTTTAAACATTTTGACTCATCAGAGAAACTGGAAAATGTGGTCTCCCTTTTAATATTTAACAGTGCTTCACACTTTCTTTTTGCTTGGAGCAATCTGTCAGATGTCTCAATGACAGCTGGAAATTTAAATTACTGATCTGCTCACAACAACTACACATTTAAACAGTGTTGTGTGCTTGTTGTAACTCCCAGACTTGAATGCACAGAAGACACCTTGTTGTTTGGTGAAGACCTAATGACTGTCAGAATCTAGAAACCAAACAAAGTGTCTTGTTAGCTTCATAACAAATTAAATGATACTCTGTGATTCACAACTTAATAAAAGTTAGAAAAATGTGTTATTTAGACATTTAAATGATGTTACACAATCAAGCAATATTCAACATTTTAAACAATAAAAGCAATGTAACACAAACAATAAACAAATTAATTACTAACCAGACTTTAAACAAAAATTGCAAAGTCAACAATTTGTTGTCAGATACATTGTTTAAATATAGTAGAATCTTTGATTCTGAGTAGACTGTATTGATATTTTATTGTATAGTTTAGATGGAGCATTATTAGCTCTTCACTCTATCTCCAATTACATACTGTATGTTATTACAATCTTTACAGACAATTTAACAAATAATGTTTATAATAGTATGCTATCATGCTCATTATCACAGTCACAACAAATGTGTGTGATGTGTCCAGAGATGTGCACTGGTGCAGTGCATTGCAGACAGTGCACAAATACAGTGAATGTGCAGACGTGAAAAACAAAACACATTACAGACTGCTAGCAAATACAATGTATTGTATTTAGTATTGTTTTTGATTCTATTTAGTCAGAAAATCAACAGTGCATATGGAAATTTTCCATCATGTTCTTAAGATTATTATAGTTGTAGGTAAATGAAGTTAACTGGTCTCCTTATGAACCAGAGAGCCTGGGAAGTGGAGAGTCAGCTGAGTATTTGGGTATTATTTCATTCCAGTTGCATACATTAACCTGTCAAGCAGTCTTTTTATTTTACACACCAGTCCCAAGGGACAAGGCGCAAGCAGGCCACATGCATGTAGGAAGTACTGTGCAAATGCACCACAGCCATGTTGAAAAATGATCCTTCTTCAACAGGTTATTTCATTCTTGGGGTTAAAACTGTGTTTTTTCATGTCATGGACACTGTCCAGTTAGTATTACACCCTGCCCACCATTCTTGTGTCGCAGTTGTGGATGCAGTTTGATCTGCTCAACCTACAACGCCCACCACAAATCCCCACTCCTTCCCCACCCTATCCCCATGGTTATTGGTACTGCAGTGTTTACTGTTGTCAGACGAGGAATTCATGTTGTGGCCATTGTTTACAGGAAAGAATGTCCCCACTTGTGTCTGGGCTGACATGCCATTCGTTTGAGTGAAGAATGTCTGCTACTTCTGTTGAGGCTGTTTAGTATGTCATCTTCATGCTATGCTGCACAGAGGTTTTTGTTGTAAGTTGTTTGCCTTAGGCGATGCAGATACATTTAACGACTTACTCTCCATTTTGGCCTTCCATCCACACAAGGCCAGTGTTTCCCACCCACAAAAAAGGGGCTTTCTGAAAATGTTGTCCAAAGTAGACACGTTTGATAGTGCCAATCCTGCTTAATGGTGACAGAGAGAGCTGATCTTTTTGAAATGCTGATGTCACTTTTTGTTTTTTTTGATTGGTGAAAAAAGGTTGAATGATAATGCTTCCCATCCCTACTTACCAGATCATGGCAGTTATACAGTTTTATTTGCCAGCTGAAAGATGTTCAACAAGGAGAGATCCAACCAACTTTCCTATTGTTCTGACATGTAAAAGTGGAGGGTAAACTTACAGAAAAAGATCTAAAACTAGTAGTATGGACAAGACCCCCCTTGTTATATAAAGCGATTTTGTCTGCATTAGTGTGGACACGTGCTGGGTTCCTTTTGAAGCTTCAGCTGTAAGTTACAGGGGGTTGTTTTACATTGAATCTGTGACAGATTCCCAATAGTTGACCAATGTAATAGGGTCAAAACAAACATTTGAGTTTGGTGAAAAATGGATGTTTACTTTGAGATACCGGCTTTGTTGAAAGAATATGTTTGAACTGCCTGTTCTTATTAAATAGAAGATTTATCAAATTGGCACGGCTATCTTGAAACTCCCTGGACCTGACATGAACTATAGTTAAGGTCTCAATCCAGATGTAGACTTAGGGTTTTTCCAAGAAGAAGTGCAGGCACAGCTGCGGACCCCAAGAGATCATTTTACACTACTTTGTTACTTAACTTTAATGTGACTTTTGCGATCCCAATGCCCATGAGATTGTAACTCACCTAAGCAGCTGTAGTTTATCTAATGCCATTATTACAGACTGAGCTGTGTTCACAGACCAGCTGCAGAAAAAAAACAGTGTTGTCGATGGCTGTTCTCTTTTTTAACTCTAAAATGAACAGTCCATGCTGAATTTTGTACGCTGTTAGGTTTATTGGTCCCCACCAAATACTGTAATATGGCTAAGCGTCTCTTGTGGAGCTTGTCCATATGGAGAATGCATTTCAAGTCGTACCTCACATTGGTGCGTTCTGCATACCACAGCAATAATGGACTTTTTCTTTCTTAAATTTTGATTTGTGTCATGTTTGACAGAGGTAGTGGATTCCAGGATTCATTTGATGTCTTTTTAAATAAACTCAATGGATCCCAAAGAGGTCTAATATTTTCTGAGTTGCTTGTTTGTGTACACTTTAAGTCAACTTATTTTCTCATTTGTTTCAGAGTAAGAAAACTCATATACCGTACAGGGACAGCAAGCTGACACGACTTCTCAAAGACTCTTTGGGCGGCAACTGCAGGACGGTTATGATTGCCAATGTTAGCCCCTCATCCAAGTCATATGATGACACCCACAACACACTTAAGTATGCCAACAGGGCAAAGGAGATTAAGTCCTCGGTTAGTATTAAAGAAATCATATTGTTTTAGAATTGTTAATTGTAATATAACTGATAAAATCCTTGGACTATAAATGTGTGAATTCCTTTTAAATCATTACATTTTTCTCTTTACTCTTACATATCAGCTGAAGAGTAATGTTGTAAGCCTGGACAGTCACATAGGCCAATATGCAGTGATATGTGAGAAGCAACGGCAAGAGGTAAACTTTTTTTTATCTTTAGCATTTTTCCCCCATACTTAAAACTTCTCATTTCAACAGTCACCATGATCTGATTTCTGACTGTTATTTCAATGTTCTTTCGCATTTCAAAAGATTCTACAGTTGAAGCAGAAACTAAAAGAATATGAGGAGAAGAACATGGTGCCTGGGCCTTTTAACATGATCCCTTCCCAGAAACAAGAAGAGTTCAAAAGGTAAGCATGTTCATGAATGTGATTCACAGTGTAACCTGAGTGGTTGTTTCTTTGTGTTATAAACCCTTTTATTGTAAACATTGTAATTAGAATACAGACACCGATTGCAGGCAGAAAGTCAAGTAGCCTGCATTTGATAATGTATTGTACAGTAGTGATACATTGATAGGAACCTATGGTTTTTTACAAGTGGTCCTGGTGGCCATAAGTGGATCAAGCATTGTAACGTGTGATTGAGAATGGTGGTTCAGGTTGTAGAATCAACAATGATTTTAGTATTCGAAGCTTCTATAGATTATTTCAACGATTCATCGATGCGTTGTGGGATCAGGTGATAGATATTTATTGTCCTTTCAGAAATTCATAGTGTGTCATACAAGGCTTGTGCAGACTACACGACTTTCAGCGTTGGCCAATTCACACTACACAACTTGCCGTCTTGTATCGAGTCTTGAAGTCGTTGTGGCTTCATACTACGTGACGCTGGTCTCCAAACCACGTTTTCTCAAGAAAACACACGTGAAATGTGAAACGGGAAATGAAGCTGTTGTTTGTTATTATAAAGATGGCAATTATAAAGACAAAGAATATGGGTGAAAGGATGGATTAGCACACACAGGTACCAGGGATTATCTGAGCTACAGAGAGAGCTGGAGGTGAGTTAAAAGGTGCAGCTCCCCGACACCCAGTTAACTCATGTCTGTGAGGTTACAACTGACGGCCCAAAAAGGAGAACAACAAACGCACGTGTGTACATTTTCAGCTAAGGACTGCAGCTTACTTTGGCTAGCCTTCAACTCAACAATCAATCTTGATTTCAGTTAAATGCTAAAGTTGCTGTTACTGTTACCTTGTCTATGGTCCACTGGCAGAACTCCGGCTGCTTTCTGATCAGGTGCTGTCGTGCTGTTGCGGAGGCACATCCAGCTGGGAGGAGACCCCATGGCAGACCTGGAGCATGCTAGAGGGATGCAAAGAATTTGCGTTGATGTATTTTATTAATCGATTTAATCGTTGAATCGTTTCAGCCCTACAATAAATATTCCAAAATTAACTTTTAGCAATGAGCCTTTATTATATTATATATATCTGCTCAGCAGGGTCCCTATAACAAAGCGTATTAGTTTAAAAAAACTCACAGTTCAGATCATATCACGGTTTTGAGTCACGGATCGGATACTTTTTCGGATCACCAAAAAATAATTGTACATGTACTTACATTTGTATAGACATTGGATGTACAGTCCTTCACACACAGATATATGCATATAGCAGCACTGTAGCAATCAAAGCAAAGAAGCTGCCCACCTTCTCCAGCTCTTCTGGGGGGTTCCCAACGCATTCCCAGCACGAATGGGATGTATAATCCCTCCAGCATGCTCCAGGTCTGCCACGGGGTCTCCTCCCAGCTCGATGTGCCTGAAATACCTCCGCAGGGAGGGAGTCCAAGACACATACTGATCAGACACCCCAACCACTGTGAAGAAAACTAATTTTGGCCCTTTGTATCTGGGATGTCATTCTTTCTGTCAGTACTTGGAGCTCACGACAGTCCAGTGTGACACCTATGTTACTTCCTATAACCAATCTACTACAGTCTCATGCGCAATCTTCACCTCACTCTTGAACAAGAACCAAAGATATTTGAAGCTTGCAACAACTTGTTCCCAACCCAAAGGACGTTGTCTGTTGTTGTCTAGCAGAGTATAGTGGCTACAGACTTGGATGTGCTTAATTGGCTACAGACCACCCAGGGCTGGTGATGGTCACAGTTCAATAAGGCTAGCTGATCTACATCATTGGTAAAAAGCAGTGATACAATCCTGAGGACACCTAACTAGATGCTCTCTGCTCCTTGGTTGCAATTATGTCTGTTTGTAATTTTGCTTTGTACAATAACTTAATAGCTGTGGAGAGATCAGTGACAATGAAAAACTGCTGTGGGAAATTGTTTGATAGTGTTTGGGTAGGAGCAGCACTTTCAAGGTGCAAAGCAGCAGCAAATGTTGCTAAAATAGAAGCAAAGCCACTTTTTTTTTTACCCAAAGCGATTCTACATGCGTTTTTTATCACACAGTGTCAATGTGGATATCATTAGTTGAAAATGCCAGTTACGGTTTGTTTATTTGTTTATACTGTCATGCACACACTTGCAACACAATGCATTTGTGGTGTTTTTGACAGCTGATCTACCCCGAATGTACTGGAGACAAAAAGTGTCAGAACTGATGATCCAATACTGCCAAAAAGACTTGATCAGTTCCCATACCTTGTGTAGCACACTTAGTTTTTTGTTGTTGTTTGTTTGCTTTTTAATCACTTGTTTGTGTTACATGAAATGCTATCCTATGCACAGAAAGCAGTGCGTCTTCAGTAGTGTCTTCATGCAGCACTAGTGGATATAGCAAAAAAAGTCCCATCAGGAGTGAAAAACTACTCCCCTGTCAGCTTCTGCATCACACGAAAAAACAAATACTGAGAGAGAAAAGGATTTCTTTATTTCTAGAGATTTTCTGTATTTGTATGTTTTGGAATAAAAACAGCAATATTGTACCGGCAACTACTACGTAAGAATTTGAGGTCATCAGCTCACCAATATTTGTATTCTAGAAGACTTTTTTTTCCCACATTCACGCCTAACCTGCACTGTAGTCAGTGGACCTACATAGGGCAGCTAGATACTAAAGTAGATTTCTGTAATTAATTGAACTTTCAGACCAATTTAAGGTTAATCTTAATAAAGCATTATTCATTTATTGCTATATGTATCCAATTTGAAACAGGATGATAGATGGGACTCAACACTGCTGACCTTCAAGACTAAAAACTACTTATGTTTACTGTTTTATGTTAACTTAAATTTCATTTCTATTTGCCACAAATGTATAGTAAAGGTATACTAGTGTTTGATGAAACTGCTTTAATCAACATTAGCTTAGCCATCTCCTTAATTTATTTATTTTAAGTTTGACAGGGAAAGTTGTGTCGTGCCTTTATTTTAATAACATATATGGATGGATGACTAGATAGATAGAATTGTTTCTTTCACATAAATCAGATCAACCATATCCCATCTAGTTGTCTTTAAGGCATACAGTGGCATCTGTTGGGGTATTTGGGTTGGGGGCGGAGGACACGGAAAACCTGAATGAGTCTCACTCCCACACATTTCATTCACTGGCATCAGAATTCACAACTCGCACAGTGAGAGGCTCTGAATAGAGGCTGCACGCTTCTCACGCTATTAAAAATTCAGCAGTCTAGCAAGGCCACGACGTCTCCTACGTCACTGGAGTTACATTGAAGAGTGCAGTCACATTTCAGCGACAGCTCTCCAGTCTTATTTACCTGCATGCCTCCCCTTTCTCTCCTCCTGCTTTAACTCAACTAGACAGCCGCTTGCATGCAGTCTAGATATCAGCTCAAGTCTATTCCAGGAATACATATATATACATCATATAGCTTTCTGGCTTTGTCCGAACAGAATTGGCATCACGTGGAAGCTCTAGATTACACTAAAAGGTTAACAATGTGACTTAATAATTGAATCAAGCCTCAAAGCATCATTAATTGATTGTAGTAAATAACAATATTTGTCATGCAAACATGTGACGTGATTAATTCATATATTTTTAGATCATCAATATTGTAAGTTATTTTACTGTAAACAGTTGTTTTGATAAAACTATTAAATATTGCATGACCTTTTTAGGATTTGGTAAATACATGACCGAGTGGTTTGTAAGGGCTCTTGGCATGGCAATTAATTTAAATGAGCTCCTTATGTGTGGCTCTGCAGCTTCTAATCACATTGCCTTGAGGTGTTTCTAATATTCTGTCTCCCTCATGTATGTGAATCAGTCAGCATAATGCAGTCTAAAAAATTACCACATTGATGGTCATTTTTGAACATGTCTAATTCATGTTTAAGTTCAAATGTCCCAATGCAGCCATTTCAAAGCAAAGAAGTCTCTCTCTCTCTCTCTCTCTCTCTCTCTCTCTCTCTCTCTCTCTCTCTCTCTCTCTCTCTCCAGGGTGTCAGAAGCTCTGCAGCGAATCTTCTCGGGCCGGGCCCAAATCAGGAAAAAACAGCTGGATCTGGAGAGACAACTGAAGGAGAATGAGCTGCGCCAGCGCTACAGTGAGGAGGACAACCTGCAGGTCCAACATTTCTGTGCCAAAGAAAAGACTGAGAAGGTAGCTGATGCTTACGCTGCTATCCACAGATTCCATCTTCCCCGCAGAAAAACAGCTGCTGAGTCATCATTTCACTTCTCTGTTCTCTATAGTTGCTTTAGCCTCTCATTTACGCCACTACAGGACAGGGTCACTGCTCCCTAGTTCCTGGCTCTTCTCTGCCATTTGAGTCCATTGTTGGTACCAGCTGTAAATGCCATTTAAAGTGTGAAAAGTGAATTCTCAAGATTTTTTGGTACCAAACTTTGGTCAACTGTCATTCAAAACAAACTAAACTCTTTGTTTTTAGAAAAGCGCCTGTTTGCCATATTGCTGCTTTCAGATGTAATTATTGTTATATATACCACATGCACCATTAATAGTATGTAACACTAGCTCAAGCGACGGACGATTCATAATATCACTTTAGTAATAGTATGAGCCTTTGTTGTTGTTGCTTTCAATAGGCCACTTGCAAGCACGAGCGGAAGATTGCCAGCTTACGCACTCAGCAGCAACACATTTACAATCGTTTGAAGGAGGCAGAAACACTTTTCCTGGACAATGATGGCTGGCTTCATCGTGTCGAGAATGATATTAAGCTCTTGAAGTCGAATGATCAGACCACAGAGGTGAGTAGAACTTATTGACCCTTTCACATTAAGGGAGCTGAAAAACAAATTGCTTCGTGCTTTAGTAAAAACCTTTTATCTTTGAATTATAATTGCATGTTAAAGTTCTGCAAAATTCTATCATGATTGCTAGTGATTTTGCCTAATTGAAATTGTGTATAACACAATGCTTGTAGCCCTTTTTATACAAATTCCAACAACACTTTGCACTGACATCGGGGATAGAGAACTTAAATCTTTGTCAGACTTTGGACAGTAAATCAGAAGAGGCAAACAGTTTGTAAAACTAGATACTAAGTTACATAACTTGTAGACAGTCTGAAATAGTTTGAATTAATGTAAGAAGGCAAATGAGCATGATTAGATATAGAGAAAAACTTTACAATGTGGGTTACATCGTTCAAAACTCATTGCTTGGTGTTTTTTGTTTGTTTATTTTGGAAGGTAGGCTGTGTCTCTACTGGTGTCGTGACTGTCTTTGTTTTCTTCCCATCTGTTCTCCCAGTAATTAGAACCGTGCTCATTTTATTTCTCCAGCTCACTCGTGGATCACTGAAGAGAATAAATCAATACCCTTTACTCATCCCTCACACAGCAGCCAGTTACCTAAAACCATGCCCATGTTATTTTTTTCTTTATCCTTTCTTCCAGGAACTGACCCAGAACTATGACGCACCCACCGGTCAAATGTTCTCTCTGCTGTTGTTTCGTAGTTTCTTTACGTCAGAGTTCTTTATTTTTTCTCTCTCTCCCCTCCCTTACCCCAAGCAGACAGCTTTTCTGATGAAACATGGATGAAAACAGAACTTTGCATCTTCTCTTTAGTATGCTGACCCCCAGTTGCCTTTTGTTTCCCCCAGTTCTCCCCAGCAGAATAATTCAAAACTCTTCATTTCTGCACTCACTTCTCCCCCTTGTTCAGGTGTTAGAGAAGAGTCTACATTGCCACAGACTGGAGCTGCAGGTACATGATCTCAAACAACACATAAAGCAGATGGTCGAGCTCACTGCACTGCAGGATCAGGAGAACAAGCGCATGCAGAAGTAGGTTGACAATACCTAGAACCAGTTTTATTACTCAGTAACTATTACTCAGTGCAGCCGACGACGCTACACTTTGCCTCACCGTAACGTGTGTTTTTTCTTGGAAAATGTCTCAGTGTTATTTTTTCATTGCATTTCAGAATGGTTAACATTTTATTGCCGGCTTATAGTCGCCACTACTCTGCTTTGCGTGGGGCTGGCCTGGTCACAGCAGCAGATGAGATGGAGAACCATGAACTAGAGCACCTTGTGTTGAGGGAAAGAGGCGTGGTCTGGGCAGACCAGGAAGCGGTGGGGCAGCAACTGAAAGGTGAAGGGATTGGAGAGGAATCAAATGAGGCGGGAAGAGTTGGGCTCCGCAGCGAGTTGGCACCTGTCTTGTCTTTCTCACATCTCCTGTACCACCAGAGTAGCCCCTGCAGTAAGTCATCATACTCCCATCATCACACAAAACGAGTGAATGATTGGTAAATGTGTAATATGTCGGTTGTTTTTTTAGATTAGTTGACACTGTAAAATATCAGAAGAGGCCCATCACACTCTCCCAGCACCCAAGGTGATGTTCTAAAATGGCCTGTGTTGCCCAACTAACAGTCTAAAACTTGAAACATATTGAATTTATGCAGGAAGTCATCACATTCGAGAAGCTAAAAGCAGCGAATGTTTGATATTTTTACATATATAATAACTTAATTCCCCCGTGACCCTGTACGCAGGATAAGCGGTTGACAATGGATGGATAGATGGATGGATGGATGGATAACTTAATTCAAAGATGAAGTTTTCTGTTAATTTTCTCTCTAGCGATACATTTTTAGTGACGTGCAACTGTAAGATGTCAGTTTGCTTGATAAATACAGAAAATCCTGACCTCCTGGTCAAGCAAAAACATCACATGTTGCAAAAAGGGGCTTATAACTAAGACATCTCCTTGGAACATGTCCGTTAAATGTGAAAGAGCAACTGAGATGACACTCCCTCAATTAACTCCATCAAGTGCATGCAATATTTTTACCCCTCCCCCTCCCAGAATGTATGAATGAGAGAGATGCCTCATAAGTGAGTGAATCTATGTCACACCGGTAAGGGAGAAAATGTCCCTCGGCCATTCATTCATCTAACATGCAGAATCTTAGCTATCTCGCTACCTAGGGTTTTTTTTTTTTAATTAAATCTGTTTACTACTAAGTTGTCTTCAACCATCAGGCATGGTGCACTTCAACATGGCAAATTATTTAAAGAAAAAATAGTTCAAAGTTAACATTTATGTTTTATAATTTCTTATTATTTCATTTAACATATTTTGAAATATGTGCACACAACCAGTTTTTCTTTTTACAAATGACTATGTCTTTTGTTTTAATTACAGCTAACATTGCTCTTTCACAAGTTGTTTTTCCATAATCTTCATTAGATTGTTCTTTAATGTGGCCTAAAATGTGAGATTAATAAGTATACATATGTGACACGTGGATGTAAGTTCAATTTCGATAGTCTTTAACAAATTAGTCAGGTGTCCTGTAGGTTGGTTCAATAAGGCCCAGTGTATTTGGCATTAGTTCAGGTCTAGTGTGTATTGTGGGACCTTTGAGAGTGCACAGTTCATTTTTAACTGTCATCTCTGCATGACCTGGCAGCACCAGGCCCTCATGACATATAAGCCATGACAGACAGTGGAGCATGAACCAAAGCTGGCCAACAATACTTAATTACTATGATGGTGTCTTATTATTTGTGAGACAGTTAACTCTGCACCTGTCCCTCTGTTCCACTGCTGGCTTATTTCAAATTGTTTTGTATTAAGCACTTATTTTAAAATGTTTTTCATTGAATTTCAGTCAAATGTAGTGTCAGTAATAACAAATGTGTTGACATCCCCTAAATACAGATATGTGTCTGTGCTCGTGTGGATCAGTTTTAAGTTTAAATGATGAGATGTTTGTATAAGACTTTGTCCTTGGACAAGTTATTTTAAATGGAAGCGTTTCACTGCCAACATTTCCTTACTGTCTGTGCCACATTAGATTGGCTTTTTCTAAAGAAAATCATAGTTCATTAAGCTGGTTGAACATCTATACTGTCTGCACAGTGAGAACTTGAATCATAGCTCTCAAGTGTTAGGAAATGTTTCACAGCGGCAGTCTTTCAAAACTATGTCAGAAAGCAATGTTTCATCAAAAAATTCAGTGAATACTTTTGACATACTTTGATACTTCAATCCCATAAGTAAAAGCAACAAACCATAGGCTAACACTTCTCAAAAATATAGTAACATACAAGTCAAATGGGTTGGTTTTTTTTAACTTTGCAAGCTTTCTTTCTTGTAATTGTGATGATGTGTTGATGTTGCCTCTTTATGATTTTTCAATTCTCAGGTGCCGAGGGGCGCACAACAAGAACATTATCGTGCAATGCTGCTCCATCACAAAAAGGTAAATCTACTCTCCTCTACCCCCCGTCTTGCTAACATACTGTAGTCATTAATCTAAATCCTCTGCATACCTGTTAATCCCCCCTCCCCCTCAACCATTCATTTGCTGAACATGTTTTGAGCAATTTAAAAAAAGGAGTTGTTTAGAGTAGTAAATACACAATAAAAGTCAAAAAAGTATAATGTCATTTATAGTTGTGCTGCAGACATTCTGTCCAGACCAACACTTGAATAATGAAATTATGTGAATACTCACTACCAATTTTATGGAGGGAAAAGTGTACACAGGGAACCTTTGGGGAAATGTAACACAAAAAACCTTTTGTGAAATATTGCAGTTCAAATTGGCTGTAATGATATTTACTGCAGGTGGGCTATATTTCATTGAAACACATTGTGGGAAATGTAACTTTTGAGGAAAATATTCCTGCCAGATGACGGGAGTTCCTTGAATGGAAATGAAACATGAAAGCACTAGGGAGTGTGTCACTACTGGTATTAAATTTCCCCGCCTATTATAATACAGGAACTCATTTAGTTTTGATATTTTCTCTCTATGGTTTGTTTGTCCGACCGGTTTTTATACATTGCAAGCCCGTTTTATTCAATTGGTCAGTTATAGCCAGCCGCCACAGGGTTGTGGGCGGGGGGCATTTCAGCAAAACACATATGTCAAAACTAACATGGTTAAAAGTTGCCCCTGCCAGGACTGCTAGGCAAATTGAATACATTTGGCACATTTCACCTGTTTCTCCAAACTCACTTATCTCATGTCATGTGTTCCATTGCACAATACACATCAATTTGGCACCGCAGCAAGTGTGATCCCATTGCAAGATGGTTTCTGCTTGTTATTTATTTACCTATACATCTATGTTCATCTTTCTGCAAGTGTCAGCACTGCCGCTCTCTCTGTATTACAATTTTGAGCTTTTATACACTGCTCAAAAAAATAAAGGGAACACTAAAATAACACATCCTAGATCTGAATGAATGAAATAATCTCATTAAATACTCCTTTCTTTACATAGTTGAATGTGTTGACAACAAAATCACACAAAAATTATCAATGGAAATCAAATTTATCAACCCATGGAGGTCTGGATTTGGAGTCACACTCAAAATCAAAGTGGAAAACCACACTACAGGCCGATCCAACTTTGATTTAATGTCCTTAAAACAAGTCAAAATGAGGCTCAGTAGTGTGTGTGTGGTCTCCACGTGCCTGTATGACCTCCCTACAACACCTGGGCATGCTCCTGATGAGGTGGCGGATGGTGTCCTGAGGGATCTCCTCCCAGACCTGGACTAAAGCATCCGCCAACTCCTGGACAGTCTATGGTGCAACGTGGCGTTGGTGGATGGAGCGAGACATGATGTCCCAGATGTGCTCAATTGGATTCAGGTCTGGGGAACGGGCGGGCCAGTCCATAGCATCAATGCCTTCCTCTTGCAGGAACTGCTGACACACTCCAGCCACATGAGGTCTAGCATTGTCTTGCTTTAGGAGGAACCCAGGGACAACCACACCAGCATATGCTCTCACAAGGGGTCTGAGGATCCCATCTCGGTACCTAATGGCAGTCAGGCTACCTCTGACGAGCACATGGAGGGCTGTGCGGCCCCCCAAAGAAATGCCACCCCACACCATTACTAAGACACTGCCAAACCGGTCACGCTGGAGGATGTTGCAGGCAGCAGAACGTTCTCCACGGCGTCTCCAGACTCTGTCACATCTGTCACATGTGCTCAGTGTGAACCTGCTTTCATCTGTGAAGAGCACAGGGTGCCAGTGGCGAATTTGCCAATCTTGGTGTTCTCTGGCAAATGCCAAACGTCCTGCACGGTGTTGGGCTGTAAGCACAACCCCCACCTGTGGACGTCAGGCCCTCGTACCACCCTCATGGAGTGTGTTTCTGACCGTTTGAGCAGACACATGCATATTTGTGGCCTGCTGGAGGTCATTTTGCAGGGCTCTGGCAGTGCTCCTCCTGCTCCTCCTTGCACAAAGGCAGAGGTAGCGGTCCTGCTGCTGGGTTGTTGTCCTCCTACGGCCTCCTCCACGTCTCCTGATGTACTGGCCTGTCTCCTGGTAGCGCCTCCATGCTCTGGACACTACGCTGACAGACACAGCAAACCTTCTTGCCACAGCTCGCATTGATGTGCCATCCTGGATGAGCTGCACTACCTGAGCCACTTGTGTGGGTTGTAGACTCCGTCTCATGCTACCACTAGAGTGAAAGCACCGCCAGCATTCAAAAGTGACCAAAACATCAGCCAGGAAGCATAGGAACTGAGAAGTGGTCTGTGGTCACCACTCCTTTATTGGGGGTGTCTTTCTAATTGCCAATAATTTCCACCTGTTGTCTATTCCATTTGCACAACAGCATGTGAAATTGATTGTCAATCAGTGTTGCTTCCTAAGTGGACAGTTTGATTTCACAGGAGTGTGTTTGACTTGGAGTTACATTGTGTTGTTTAAGTGTTCCCTTTATTTTTTTTGAGCAGTGTATTTAACAACAAAAACTTAAATGGCCAAACATTAACTTAATTCTGTTTAATGCAGCATTTGACACGCCTACAATAAAACTTAAAGGGAATAAACACTTTTACTTTCCACTAATATAATAACACTTATATGAATCCCAGTTATTAACAACAAGTTAATCAATCAATCTTTCTTAAACTAAGAATTTTAGCTCCATAAAGTAACTCTTAAATGTACCTTCAGCAATATCGGAAACAGCTGTATTATACACAGTCCCATCCATCCATCTTCATCCGCTTATCCGGGATCGGGTCGCAGGGGGAGCAGCTCCAGCAGGGAACCCCAAACTTCTCTTTCCCGAGCCACATTAACAAGCTCTGACTGGGGGATCCCGAGGCGTTCCCAGGCCAGTGTGGAGATATAATCTCTCCACCTAGTCCTGGGTCTTCCCCGAGGCCTCCTCCCAGCTGGACGTGCCTGGAACACCTCCCTAGGGAGGCGTCCGAGAGGCATCCTTACCAGATGCCCAAACCACCTCAACTGGCTCCTTTCAACTCAAAGGAGCAGCGGCTCTACTCTGAGCTCCTCGCGGATGGCCGGGCTTCTCACCCTATTTCTTAGGGAGACACCAGCCACCCGCCTGAGGAAACCCATTTCGGCCGCTTGTACCCTCGATCTTGTTCTTTTGGTCATGACCATAGGTGAGGGTAGGAGCGAAAATCGACCGGTAGATCGAGAGCTTTGCCTTATGGCTCAGCTCTCTTTTCGCCACAACGGTGCAGTAAAGCGAGTGCATTACCGCCCCCGCTGCTCTGATTCTCCGGCCAATCTCCTGCTCCGGTCTCCCCTCACTCGTGAACAAGGATAAGGGTAAGGACTCATTCCCTACCTGGAGTTGGCACTCCACCGGTTTCCTGCTGAGAACCATGGCCGCAGATTTAGAGGTGCTAATCCTCATCCCAACTGCTTCGCACTCGGCTGCGAACCGATCCAGTGAGAGCTGAAGGTCATGGACCGATGATGCCATCAGGACCACATCATCCGCAAAAAGCAGTGACGAGATCCGCAGCCCCTCCTCACCACGACTACACCTCGATATCCTGTCCATGAATATCACAAACAGGATAGGTGACAAAGCGCAGCCCTGGCGAAGGCCAACCCTCACCTGGAAAGAGTCCGACTTACTGCCGAGTACTTGGATACAGCTCTCGCTTTGGATGTACAGGGATTGGATAGCCCTGAGAAGGGCCCCCCTCACCCCATACTCCCGCAGCACCTCCTACAGTATCTCCCGGGGGACCCGGTCATACGCCTTCTCCAGATCTACAAAGCACATGTAGACTGGATGGGCATACTCCCAAGCCCACTCCAGGATCCTTGTGAGTGTAAAGAGCTGGTCAGTTGTTCCACGACCGGGACGAAAACCGCATTGTTCCTCTTCAATCTGAGGTTCGACAATTGGCCGAACCCTCCGTTCCAGCACCCTGGAGTAGACTTTACCGGGGAGGCTGAGAAGTGTGATACCCCATGTAATTGGCACACTCTCTCTGGCCCTTTTTGAACAGGGGAACCACCACCCCAGTCTGCCACTTCTTGGGCACTGTATCCAACTTCCACGCAATGTTAAAGAGACGTGTCATCCAAGACAGCCCCTCCACACCCAAAGCTTTTAGCATTTCTGGGCGGATCTCATCAATCCCTGGGGCTTTGCCACTGTGGAGTTGTTTGACTACCTCAGTGACTTCCACCAGGGAAATTGATGAGAATCCCCCATCAGCCTCGAGCTCTGCCTCTACTAAAGAGGGAATGTCAGTCAGATTTAGGAGTTCCTCAAAGTGTTCCTTCCACCGCCCAGTTACCTCCCCAGTGGAGGTCAACAGGGTCCCGTCCTTACTGTACACAGCTTGGATGGTTCCCCGCTTCCCCCTCCTGAGATGGCGGACAGTTCTCCAGAAACACTTTGGTGCCGACCGAAAGTCCTTCTCCATGTCTTCTCCGAACTTCTCCCACACCCGCTGCTTTACATCTGCCACAGCAGAGGCTGCAGTACTTAGGGCCCGTCGGTACCTTGCAACCGCCTCCGGAGTACTCCGAGACAACAAATCCCGGAAGGCCTCCTTCTTCAGTCGGGCGGCTTCCCTGTCCACCACGGTGTTCGAGGGTTACCGCCCCTTGAGGCACCTAAGACCTTGAGACCACAGCTTTCTGCTGCAGCTTCAGCAATAGAGGTTTTGAACATTGCCCACTCCTGTTCAGTGTCCCCAACCTCCACAGGGATGCCAGAAAAGCTCCGCCGGAGGTTTGAGTTGAAGATCTCACGGAAAGGGGCCTCCTCCAGACTTTCCCAGTTCACCCGCACTACCCGTTTGGGCTTACCAGGTCTGTCCAGAGTCTTCCCCCACCCCCTGACCCAACTCACCACCAGATGGTGATCAGTTGACAGCTCTGCCCCTCTCTTCACCCGAGTGTCCGAAATATGCGGCCTCAAATTAGATGAAACGATTTCAGAATCG